AGGGACACCTTCCACTAGCCCAGGTTGCTCCAGCCTGGCCTTGGGCACTTGCAGGGATGGGGCAGCCACAGCTTCTCTGGGCAACCTGTGCCAGGGCCTCCCCACCCTCAGAGCCAAGAATTCCTTCCAGAGAAGACTGAACAGCAAATATCCTTCTGCCTTTAATAAGGTTCACAGTTCCAACTTTCTTGTGTTGACAGCCCCTCCCAAAAAAAGAAAAAAACCTTGAACCTGTGAAAGATTTGCACCTCCCAAAATGAAGATATAACTCTTTAAAAAGTTAATACACTCCAGCAATATTTATTAATGCTTAAACACAGCACAACCCCAAATCCTAACCAAGGCCTCTCAGAGAACAGTGTCTGGCACACGTTTTTATGTGGAATAAATAAAAAATTGCTTCTCCAGCACCACTGAGCAACTTGCAGCTGTGGAAACACTGCCAACAGCAAGGCTCATAAATGCTGCTCCCTTGCCCAACGAGAGAAGATGTCTCAGCTAAATCACCTCTTACTCACGGCATAAATTCTTCCAGGTGATTGTTCTTCCTTAACAACATCCTAAAGATTCATTCTTTCCTTCCCTGTGGCTCTGCAAAGGTTCAGTCAGGAACTTCTAGTGACTTCCCAAGGCCAGGTTTTAAATATGCCTTCAAGACACGACAACAGTCCCCCCAAAGACACTTCACAGAGAGGAAGTTCTGAAGTGTGTGATTCATTTGCATGTTGGAAAACAACTGGCAAGAAAGAAACTACTGTGAGAGCAAAGTCTCATTCCACGCTGTCATTAGTGTGGAGAAGAACATACCAGAGGGATTAATGGAATGTTAATGACAACACACTTGTGCATGAAATGCTCTGGGCTTGGGGAACATCAGGGACAATGCCAGAGGTGTTAAGTGGGAGCTCTGGAATCCCTTCAGCATCCTTTGCTTCAGTCTCCAGGTTCACGTTTCTCATATTTCCAGACTTAGTAGGAATTCCAGTGTAAAGACACACACAGACACAAAATAGACAAAATGGTGTAGCTGAGTTAAAAACAGGTCCTCAGGTCAAAGGGTATAAAATTAGTGTTATCCTGCATGAGCTGCCCTGGGGAATTTATTAGCTAAAATAAATGTAGGCTAATAGAGCATTCCAACAATACCTTGTTTTATACAGTGCTTGAAATCTTGAAGTATAATAATAATAATAATAATAATTTAAAATAAAGACTTCCTCCTCTTCTGCAAAATATTTGTAAACTGTGAGCTCATATAAGATTAGACAGGAGGATGAATCAGTGTAAGAGATTAAAACAAAACAAATCAACTGTTGCTTCTGGTTTTGAAGCAAAACGTTTTTCCTTGAAACATTTCACGGCTTCAAAGTCAAAACAGCTCAAAGAAAAGGATTTGGTCTGATAAACTTTGCTAAATCAGAGATCTGATGTGGCCACAGGTGGGACTTGTGAACGCTGTGTATGAAATATCCCGTTATTGTGACTGAAGTCTGAGGGAATCACGGAAAATAGGACACATTCAAAATGAAACTACCGTGAAATTAAAATGTTTACAGCCCTCAGCAAGCTGAAAATCCTAAAATCATAGAATCACAGCATGATTTGAGTCGGAAGGGACCTTTAAGATCATTTCATTCCAATCCTACCACCTTCCACTAGACCAGGTTGCTCCGAGCTCCGTCCAACCTGACCTTGGAATTATCAACCAAATTAACCAAATATATTATCCCACTACAATTAAACAGGCATGCTTGAGCGAGATGTCTGAGGACACAATATTTTCCAGTCCTCATTGTAGAAAGAAACCGAAACTCAACACGTATGCATGGTTTCAGTTTCGATTTTCACTTACAGGTAATGACATCACAGCCATTTATTTATTTCTCCTTCTTGTTGTTGATTTAACCTTCCCCAACCCCATGGCAGGAGAGCAAATATAGACAACAGATTCGGAGACTGAAGCCAGTTTTATTAACCAAGAACTTAAAAATTACGTGGGCTACCAGTGCCCTCTGTTGGGTACTGGGGAACGCTCGAGCACCGTGGGCACTGCAGGAATTACTCACATGGAAAATGCCTGATTTTTTCTGGAGCAGTAAGAAAAATTCTGCCTTTATTTGGGGTAAATTCAGTGAGGAAACAGAATCATAGAATGGTTTGGGTTGGAAGAGACCATAAAGACCATCCCATTCCACCCCCTGCCATGGGCAGGGACACCTTCCACTAGCCCAGGTTGCTCCAAGCTCCATCCAACTTGGCCTCGGACACTTCCAGGGATGGAGCAGCCACAACTTTTCCGGGCAACCTGTGCCAGGGCCTCCCCACCCTCTCAGGGAGGAATTTCTTCCCAATATTCCATTTAACCCCGTTCTCTGTGAGTTTGAGGCCATTCTGCCTTGTCCTAGCACTACGTGCTATTGTTAACAGTCCCTCTCCATCTTTCACTTTACACACACCAGGAATTCGAGGAAAATATTCATATCTCTAGCAAAAAAAACCCCACATATGGCCAATTCCTCAGGGAAAAAAAAAAAAGACCAGACAACGCCGTGATCCCTCCAAAGCACAACATCGAGCTGGCCCTCGATGCTCCTCGGGCGTTCCTTCCCTCCCCACTCGGGGTATCCCCTGATTCTATAAAGTTGTAACAGAACAGCCACGTCTAAGCCAACAGGGAATGTTTTATCGGTATTTATTTAATCGCAATTGGCTTTGTTGTGTATTTATTTAATCGGTATTTATTTAATCGCGATTTGGCTCCTGGGCTGCCAGAGCTCAGGGGGCGTTCGGGCAACACCCTCAGGGTGGGACTGCTGGGTGGCGGAACTGTTGGGTGGTGGGATTGTAGGGTGGTGGGATTGCTGGGTGGTGGGATTGTTGGGTGGTGGGACTGTTGGGTGGTGGGACTGTTGGGTGGTGGGACTGTTGGGTGGTGGGATTGCTGGGTGGTGGGATTGCTGGGTGGTGGGACTGTTGGGTGGTGGGATTGTAGGGTGGTGGGATTGCTGGGTGGTGGGATTGTTGGGTGGTGGGGCTGTTGGGTGGTGGGACTGTTGGGTGGTGGGACTGTTGGGGGGCCCCGTGCAGGGCCAGGGGTTGGACTTGTGAGCCTTGTGGGTCCCTTCTAACTCAGCATATTCTGTGATCGTGTGGCTTTGTGCGACGCAGCCGCGTTCGCAGTGGGGTTCGGGCCGGCCCGGTCCTGGGCCCCCTCACGGCCCCGCGCCCGCCATGGCGGCCCCGGAAGCGGAAGTGGCCGCGCGCCCCGGACGCGCCGCGGCTCCTTCCCGAAGTGCCGCCCGCGCCGCCATCTTGGCTCGGAGCCGTGAGGGGACCCCGGCCGGCCCGCCCGCCCGCGCCGCCGCCATCGCGGCCCGACCGCCCGCTGCCGCGTCCCTCCCTCCGCCGCCGGCAGGAGGGCCGCCCGGGGCCTGGCGGGCACGAGAGTTGAGCGGGGGCTGCCCCGGGGACCGGCTGCTGCCTCTTCCCCCCTCCCTCTGTCTGTCCCTCAGTCCCTCTCTCTCCTTCTCCCCTCCCACCCTCAGTCCTTTCCGTCCCTCAATCCCTCCCTCCCTCTCTCCTCCTTCCCTGTGTCCCTCCGTCCCTGCCTTCCCCCCTTGTCTTCTTTCCTCCTTCACTTCTCCTCGTCCCATTGTATTGCCCAGGTGAGAAATTACCTTTGCGGTCGTAGCCATTTATTTTCCGTGTTTAAGATACAAGTGTTCTTCCAGGTAAGGCTTTGAGGCGCGTTAAAATGCCAGTAACCTCACTTAAAGCGGTAAAATGTTTCGGTGTGTTTTCGCAGCACGTACCGAGAGCTTATTTCAAATTATTATTATTATTAATAATAATATATTAATAATAATAATATTGTTATCACGTACTGCGGGCTCATTTCAAATTATTAATATTATTATCAGATACTGAGGGCTTATTTCGAATTATTATTATTATTATTACTGCTACTACTACTACTTTGATTTATTACTGAAAAACATCAGAACAAATAATCGTGTCGAAGTAAAAAGGTATTATTTAATTCATATTTTAAAGTCAGAACTGGCTTCTTTGGGGAAAGATTCTGAATTTTATGATTTCGGGAGGTTATGGCTTCAAAAAAAATGCTCTGATGTTTCAAGCAGTGATTTGCAGCAGTTCTGACAAAAAGCAGGTTAAAGGGTTTATTCTGAGTAGAGGTGGAATATTTGACCAAATACAACTGTTGCTTGTGGTTTAAATGTTGTTTCTTTAATAAATTTTACTCGGCTGCTTGTTTGCAGAGAAGGAATAGAAAGGGTTGTAGGAATTTTAACGTGTATTTCGTGTCATATTGTGGGCATTGCCTTATCTGTGTTTGTAAAATCTTCCTTTTTTATTCCATGTTTAAAGCCAAGTAATTCCCTAAAGTTCTTAGGGGAAAGTGAGTCAAACAGCAGTTGTTAATTAGTGTGTTCTGGAGGTGCATTATAAGGGCTAATTCTCTCTTTGTCTTGTAAACAGCAGGGAATTTCCTCCCCTCACACTGCCTTGTCTCCCTTTGGATGGGGTTTTATTTCTCTGGAAGAGAATACTCTGGCTCAGGAGTTCCCTTCTGGAAATTCAGTCCTTAGCAGGCAGCAGATTTAATTCCAAGTCCTTCACCTCCAAGTCAGCAACGAGATTATTGTGTTTTGTTGTTGGTTTTTTTTAGATAACTGGATGTGTAGAAACAGCAGATGAATTTAAAACATGTAAAGTTACAGAACAGATCTCAAAGCTGAACAGGGAAATCAGTTACTCAAAAAGACCTTTAGGATAGAATATCCCAAACTGGAAGGATCATCCAGTACAGATGTCTCTGGGGACTGTGTTAGTTAAGATCTTGCCACTTAAAAAAGTGAAGGTTATTCAATTTACATTTTAAATATAAAGTGGATTTTGCAAAAACCTGGAGCAGTGTCCCAGGAGTGAGGGTAGCTCTGTGTCTACTAATACTGTATTTATATTTTTTTTTTAATTAGATGAGCAACAACAGTAATAAGAGAGCACCAACCACAGCAACCCAGAGGCTTAAACAAGACTACCTGAGAATTAAGAAAGATCCAGTGCCTTACATCTGTGCAGAGCCCCTCCCATCCAATATCCTGGAATGGTAAGAGTGGGAATGAGAATTGGAATCACTGGAGAGAGAACAAGATTTTCCAGGTCATCAAGTCCGACTCCCTCACTCCTCAGCACGGGAAGCTTGGGCTGGATGATAAGATCCTCATTTTTTTAGGGATTTTGGGGGCTGATTGTGTGCTGGATCCACAGTGTTTTCCCATTCCCTTCTTTTCCCAGGCACTATGTTGTGAGGGGACCTGAAATGACGCCCTATGAAGGTAAAAGCCATGTTGTGTTTGCAACATTTAGTGATTAAATGGTGGTTTGAATGGGCAAAATACAGCTAAAAATAGCTCCAGGATCTGTCAGTGGGAAAGCTGGTTGAAAAGAGATGGTGATACTGCTGTCAGGAATGTTTCTGTTATCAAGGGGTTTAATAAAATAAAATTGAGGTGAAGATGAAGACAGAGATCTTCCTCTTAAAGATTTTGGAGCAGATAGCTCACTTTAGAGAGCATGTGACAAAAGATAATTTCAGAAAGTCACGTTTTCTTAGCACAGAAATGTTCTCAGTGAACTGAGATGTAAAAATTCCCTTTATGAATTTCTCTGGAGAAAGCTTGAAATGTAAAAGCCTGGTTAATTTGTTGTAGTCACAGTGTCTTGTGGAGCCTCTCAGAAATGCTTTTTTGCTTGGGATTCTTCAGAGGGTTGTGTTTGCACTTAGTTTCTGGGAAAAATAACCCATTTGATTGTATTAAATACAGTTTGGCTGGTTTTCCTTCAATGTATTCCAGACTTGACAGCAGCAAATACTGTTTGTAAAAGAGAATGTGAGAGAATTGCCTCCAGACTAAACCTGGTGCAGGTTTGGGTTATTATTCCCTAGTTTTAGAGGCACAAGATGAAAAATTTGATCTCAGTGAGAAGGGGAGAAGGAGACAAGCCATTTTGAGTAGCAGTGTAGGATTTAATCTTCATACAAAACAAGTAATTCCTCTCTCTGTGTAATGCAGGTGGCTATTATCATGGGAAACTAATATTCCCCCGAGAATTCCCTTTTAAACCTCCTAGTATTTATATGATTACACCTAATGGAAGGTTTAAGTGTAACACAAGGTAAGGACCTTTCTCTACCACTTAAGCAATTAACACCCTTTCAGCACTGTGCCTAATTGTGTGATGATTTTAATGGCCAACCCAACCCTCTTGGCTGTGTTTTTTGAAGGTTGTGTCTCTCCATCACCGATTTCCACCCGGACACGTGGAATCCAGCGTGGTCAGTCTCCACAATCCTGACGGGCCTCCTTAGTTTTATGGTGGAAAAAGGCCCCACACTGGGCAGCATAGAGACATCTGAGTTCACAGTGAGTTCAGAGGGGGTGAAGGACCTTGGGGCAGCTTTGGCAGTGGCAAACCAGCAGATATGTCTGATATCTCAGAAATAAACAGTGTGGTTGGGATTTTGTCCTTCTTTCCTTCCTCTGGATGTGCCAGCCAAGCAGTCACACTGACACAACCCCCTAATCCCACAGGCTGAAGGATTGAGAACATCATTTATGTCTGTAGTGAATAATGTTCACAAGTGTGGTGCTGTAAATGATAGGAAGTTGGCTGGTGGTTTGCAGCCTTCTTGGGGGACATCAGGTGTTGGATTGGAGCAAATGAATTTCTCTGCAGCTGCTGCTGATGTTTTTTTCTTTTCTCCACAGAAGAGACAACTCGCTGCACAAAGCTTAGCATTTAATTTAAAAGATAAAGTCTTCTGTGAGCTCTTCCCTGAAGTGGTGGAGGTAAGGGAATTCAGCCCTACAATATTTCGGTTTTCTGGAGTTGTTCAAACTTCTCTATGCAAAAAACTAATTGTTCAGGATTTTTCCCAGGCTCTGTCAATCTTGGAAGCCTTTTAAAAGGTCTTAATTATTGCACACAGGAGAGTGGGGAAAAGATAGACAAGAGCTTCTCACTTGAAATCCTTTCAGGACACCCAAAACTTCATCACTTTGACTTGCAATCCTTTCAGAACACTCAGAGCTTCTCACTTGCAATCCTTTCAGAACACCCAAAGCTCCATGAATTTCAGGACACCCAAAGCTTCATGACTTTGACTGGAAATCATTTTGGAACACCCAAAGCTTCATGACTTTCACTTGCAATCCTTTCAGGACACCCAAAGCTTCATGACTTTCACTTGAAATCCTTTCAGGACACCCAAAGCTTTATGACTTTCACTTGAAATCCTTTCAAGACACCCCAAACTTCATAACTTTGACTTGAAATCCTTTCAGGACACCCAAAGCTTTATGACTTTCACTTGCAATCCTTTCAGAGCACCCAAAGCTTCTCACTTGCAATCTTTTCAGAACACTCAGAGCTTCTCACTTGCAATCCTTTCAGAACACTCAAGGCTTCATGGCTTTCAGAACACCCAGAGCTTCACAACTTTCACTTGAAATCCTTTCAGAACACCCAGAGCTCCATGACTTTCACTTGCAATCCTTTCAGAGCATCCAGAGCTTCTCACCTGCAATCCTTTCAGAACACCCAAAGTTTCTCACTTGCAATCCTTTCAGAACACCCAAAGCTCCATGACTTCCACTTGCAATCCTTTCAGAGCACCCAAAGCTTCTCACTTGCAATCCTTTCAGAGCACCCAAAGCTTCTCACTTGCAATCCTTTCAGAACACTTGAGGCTTCATGGCTTTCAGAACACCCAAAGCTTCACGACTTTGACTTAAAATCCTTTCAGAACACCCAAAGCTTCTCACTTGAAATCCTTTCAGAACACCCAAAGCTTCTCACTTAAAATCCTTTCAGAACACCCAAAGCTTCTCACTTGCAATCCTTTCAGAACACCCAAAGCTCCACAAATTCCACTCGCAACCCTTTCAAAGCACCCAAAACTCTACCAACTTTCGCTTCCAACCCCTCAGCTCTCTCTCTTTTTGTTTGTTTTTTTTTTTTTTTTCTCTTTCTCCCTCTCCAGGAGATCAAACAAAAACAGAAAGCACAAGAAGAGCTCACCAACAGACCTCCCTCCCTGCCCCTGCCCGACGTGGTGCCCGACGGGGACGCTCACTACGGTCAGAACGGGCTGCCCCTCCTCAACGGGCACGTGGCCCTGGGCCCTGCCAACCCCCCCGGGCTGCAGCAGCCCCACCGCAACCACGGACTGCTGGGCGGAGCCCTGGCGAACTTGTTCGTCATCGTGGGCTTCGCAGCCTTTGCCTACACAGTCAAGTATGTCCTGAGGAGCATAGCCCAGGAGTGAGGAGGAGAGCAAAATAAAAAAACCCCCAAGACCAAAATTCTAGTGGTAGTTTCGCAGAGCGAGTGGTGGGACTCTTTGTTTTTCTTTGGGGCAGCTGGGAGAAATCTCGTGGGGAGTTGGAGTTGGAGTTAGGCAGAAACTCTTGCTGCTCTTCTGGTAGTTTCTCACAAGTCAAAGCATTATTGATGAGACACTACATTTCTAGTGCTTTGATGTTTTTTTTATAGCAGTCCTCCATCTGTCGTTGGAAATTTGAAAATCTCGAGCAAATAAGGCTTTTTACTTCACTGTACAATTTTTAAAACTCTGCCATTCTCTGCATATCATTTTATTTTCGGTAGGGAAGAGTCTGTTCAGGTGTTCAGTGATCCAAGTAGGGGTTCCACGTGGACTTGGGAAGGGTTTGGTTAATGTGAACATTTGATGCTACAGAAAACTGCTGGTTTCTTTTTTTTTCCAACTAGAATGACCATCATTGCATATCTAGTCAGTAGTGATTAGATGAGTGGGAACATAACACCACAGTGTGTTAAATGTGTTGTCTAAATTGTCACAGTGTCATTGAAGGTTTTATTTGGGCTACAAGAAGTGCAGTTGTTGGCCCTTAGCAAGAAAAAAAAGCCTTGGAATCAGCCTCTGGAGGGAATACCCATCTCCAGGGTTGTTTGGGATTTGTTCACTTACAGATTTTCATTCTGGGAGATGTTCTTTTGGAAAGTTGTAATAGTTCCTTCTGATCACAAGGGGCCACTGGTGAAATGATAATAAAACTGCACCCACCAATGGAGAGAGTTGAGTGTGTGTTCCAAAATCTCTGCATTCCTCAGGCTGTGGGGATTGAGGCAACCCCAGCCCTTGGGAAGGGAAAAAGGCAAAGGAGCCTCAGTGACAAACCAGCTTCCTCAGAGCCAGCTGATAATCCATCTCAAGTGTCACTGCCTGAATTAACCCTTCAAATTAGTTCCACTGTTCACTATTTAAAATAAAACAAACAAACCACCACCGCCAAAAGCCAACCCCAAAATTCACCTGGGATTGTGGAAGCTTTTAGCTGTGAGTTCATCACTGTTCCCCTTCAGGTGACTGATAAATGAAATATTGCTGTTTGTTCACAGGCTTCCAGCACTGTGGGTAAACACTGAAGTTCAAAAGTCTGTCTGAAATTACCTGTTTTTTTTTTTTAAATTGAGTTTGCTTGATTTTTCTCCCTCCTGCTTGAATTTTACCATTTTACCCAAAAGCTTTGTTTCAGCAGAGGCAAACTTGCTGTGCCTTTCAGAATTGACACACTGTCAATGCTACAACTGTCCAAGGTGGTAGCAGGGATAAAAGCTCTGCACTTACTGTATAGTCTTATTTTAATTATTCTGAAGAGCCCAAATAAATAATTACCTCATGTGTCTAAGAATGTTTTGAAACTGTCTTATTTCCCCTTTCAGATTTTCACTCTCTGTCTCTCTCAGCTTCTTGGTATCTTGAATTATAAGCAAAAATGTCCTGTCAACCCATGAGCCAACAGCTCAGAGCACCAATAAATGTGACCAATTCTCTGCAATAGGTAGGAATTACCAAAATCAGCAGAACAGCTCTTTGCTAAAGAAATCTTAAAGCAGTTCTTCCTGATGTGAGGAAGGGAAGGAGTCAGGGGGTGTGAGGATGGGATTTGGAAAAGGCTGGATTTTAAGTGTATTTATAAAATCTTTGATTATGTTTTTTTATTATTATTATTTTATGGTTTTACCAAATCTTATTTATAACTATTTTTTCATTTACCTCTCGTATGTGCTTAATCCTAGAAGCAAGTCATGTGGGTCTGGGGGTGTGCTGGGAAGGAGGAGAGTGCCATGGCTTTCCTGCAGGGCTGGGATTTTTGGGATGGCTCATGGTTTTTTTCTCCAGGCAGAAGGAGGTTGCACCTCTCAAACCAATTTGTGTCCTTGCCATGCCTTTTCCTGCTATTGCCAGACAGCACCTTCTGTTGGTTATCCATGCTTATCTTCTCTTCTGGGAGTTCTTCCTCCACAAAACCCAAGACAAAGGCAAGGAGACCTCGGGTGGGGTGTGTTTGCACCTTCTGTGGCCTCTCCAAGCTCAGAGAAAAACAGCCAGAGGTGGTGAAGAAAAGGCTTTTTATTCCATGGCAAGAAGTTGGCCTTGAGCTGCACCTGAGCATCTGAAGGTGGGTCTCTTGTTTGCAGAAACAAAACCCCCTTTGGTCAAACCCTGGACATGCTGCATTTTTTTTCCCCCCCTGAGGATTGGTTGTGTTTAAAAACCCAAAACTTCCACAATTACAGTTTTTCCCTTGAGAACCCTGGATTTGGAGGAAGACTTGCCAGCCATTCCAGGTGCCAGTTGTTGGAAGCTGGGAGCAATCCTTAAACCCCTTGGAACATTTTTATGTCTCCTTGCCTTTGGTACCACAAGATTTATCCCCCTTTGTGTAGGTTTTACTGATTTGTGGGTTTTTTTTAAGAATTTCTAACAATGCAGTGTCTGATCTTTTTATTACCCAAATCATTGGATGGAGGAGCCCAGGCAGAAATATTCCCATGCCCTGAGCAGTTCATTACTTGCTGGAATCAAATTAAAAACTCTCCTTCATTATATGATCTTGGAATAAATGTCTGGCCCTCAACTTTCACACTGCAATTCCCTGGATTTATTCTGTCAAACTGTTAGGAATTGGTGGGAGGGAGCTTTTGCAGCTGGAATTACACAACATCTTGTGGTTGCCTTGAAAGATCTCTTTTATTTTATTTTATTTTATTTTTTTTTTAAATTCTGGAGTTTTGTGTAGTCATCACCTTCCTCCCCCCCCCGAGATTTCAAGGTCATGGAAGTGTTCCCTTGCTACGAGCATGTGCTGAGGAGTGGGAATGACTGCATTGTAATGTTTGTTCATAATAAACATTCATGAGAAAACAGAGGCTTTCTGTGGGACTCTTTTTGGGAAAGGAATCACTGGGAGGAAACTGGAATGGGTAAATATGGATGAGAAAACAACAACTATGGCGAAATTTGTAATTACAAATTACAATTATTCCCTTAAGCCTTGTGCTTCTCAAGGTGTTTTTTGACTGTCTCTGAATAATTTTGGGTATCAGTGGCTTATTTTGTAACTCGGGGAGGCAAACAGTGAACAAGCTGATCCTTCCTTTGCAAAAGGAAAGCAGGAAAATCGTATTTTCAGTGGAAAGATTGTACAAAAGGGAATCTGTGGAGAAGGAACTCAAAGCATGTCATTGAAAAGGTTTTCTGGGCAAGGAAAGGGGCTTATTGGGAACTTTTATCGGCGGGAAAAGCTTTGCCTCAACGGGTTTATTTCCCACCTGGTCACTCCGAGAGAAACCTTTGGAGGAGCAGAGAGGGGATTTTTTGCCGTTTTCCCAGGTGTGTCGGCGTTTCCATGGATTTGCCAGCAGATGGCGAAGCGATCCCGGGTCGGGAATGCGGGCACGGAGAGGCTCTGGAATGTGGGATGCGGGCACTGCAGCTCCGACCGGAGCGACCCTAAACCCCGGGTGAGTCTTCCCAAAGCTGCTCTTTTGTTCGTTGGTGTGTTCAGGTTTGTTCCAACAGCTCCAGGAATCGTGGAATATCCCGAGCTGGAAGGGACCCACGAGGATCATCAGCCCTGCCCAGGACACCCCAACAATCCCCCCCTGTCCCTGAGGGCCTTGTCCAAACCCTCCTGGAGCTCTGGCAGCCTTGGAGCCTGTGTACATCAACCAACAGCCTGAGCTTATGTTGGATTGGCACAGAATCCCAGAATGGTTTGGGTGGGAAGGACCTTAAAGATCATCCAGTTCCACCCAGGGACACCTTCCGCTATCCCAGATTCTCCAACCTGGCCTTGGACACTTCCAGGGATCCAGGGGCAGCTACAGCTTCTCTGGGCAACCTGTGCCAGGGCCTCCCCACCCTCCCAGGGCAGGATTCCTTCCATGCTCCAGCCCTTTAGCTGGGATGAAGCAGGAATGGGGAGGGGTGTCAGCCACTGTACTGGCTTCAAAAATCCCCATCTCTGTTCCCTATATCTACAACAGAGAAGTGGGGGAATCCCAGCTTTTGCCCTCTTGCCCTTTGGATATTATTCCTGGCACAGTCAGGTGAGGCCTATCTGGAGTAAAACCGCAGAAGTGGAGATTGAAAGGTGGGATCACAAGTTCCTTGCCCGACTCTTGGGTTCCCTCCCTGGCTCTGTTCACACTTATGGGATTTGCAAACACTCTCTTTGGGTTCTTGCACAGTTTGGAATCCTTAACGTGGCTTCTTACAACATTTTCCCTGCTTCCAAACTTCCCTCGTGCAGGATTGTTGCTGTTCTGTTCTCAACCATCCCTGGCAGTGCCTCGGTGGTGCTGAGCTCCAGGGAGAAACTGTTTGCCTTCCATGGAATCATTAAGGTTGGAAAAGACCTTTAAAGACCATCAAGCCCAGCTGTCAGCGCAGCACCACCGTGGTCACCACTAATCCACATCCCCACAGGCCACATCCACAAGGTTCTTGAACATTTCCAGGCATGGTGATTCCCGTTCCAAAGCTTGACAACCCTTTTCCATGAAAAAAAATTCCCTGATATCCATCTAAACCTCCCCTGAGGCCATTTCCTCTCATCCCATCACTTGTCACCTGGGAGAAGAGCCTGATCCCATCTGGCTACAACCTCCTGTCAGGGAGTTGGAGAGTTCCTTCCCATTATTCCCAGATCTTTGAGCTGCTGTGCTGTGAAAGTGCCACCTGAGACTTTATATCCCTAATTTTACTTTATTTCTTTTTTTCCTGCAAATAGGGGTTGGACGTTGCGGATGCAGCGGCGAGACCTGGGAACTGCTGCAGCTGGGACGGGAACTCCAAGGTGGGCAGTTGGAAATTCGGGATTGCAGGGGAGGCACCAGCTGTGCCAGCACTTGTTTGAACCCAAAGGTGGGAAAAGGATCTTTTGGGGAGTTTTTAACACAGTCCCCAAGGCCCCCAGAGCCTCCTGGCTACCCCTGGAGGTGCCACCATGTCCCTGTCACATCACTGTCCCAGTGTCACCACCTTCTCAGAGCTCTGTGTGGGTCCCCCAGGGCTCCCTGTGGGTGTCACCACGATGTCACCAATGTCCCTAAGACCCTCAGAACCTCCTGGCTGCCCAGAGACACCTCTCCAGGTGCCACCATGTCACTGTCCCCGTGTCACCACCTTCTCAGAGCTCTGTGTAGGTCCCCCAGGACTCCCTGTGGGTGTCACCACGATGTCCCCAAGACCCTCAGAGCCTCCTGGCTGCCCAGAGCCACCCCTGTGTGTGCCACCCTGTCACTGTCCCACCACTGTCCCAAATTTACAGCCCAAACCAGCAACGCCTTCGCCTTGGATTAGCTGGGATTGGTTTTCCCCCAGTCCCAGGAGCTGCTGCCAGGCTGGGGAAGGGGCTTTAGGCAGAGCCCAGCCAAGCCCAGCCCAGCCAAGCCCAGCCCAGCCCTGGCTGTCCCTGCCTGCTGTGGTGTGTGGAGCTGTCAGGCTGTTTAGCTGGGCTGTGACAGATTGTCCTATTAATGTGTCATCAAGTGCACTTTTACAAATTCATGGCTTGTCTACAACTAACCTGAAAAAAAAAAAGAGGCTTAAGTATGAGAAGGCGCCAAAGAAAGTTAAATATTATTAACAAATAAAGTCTGCCACGTAGTTTTGATGGAATGTGAGCTGGCTGGGGGAGGGGTAATGTGCTGTTAACTCTTGAGCTGCTGGGTAAGTGCCCTTCTTACTCTGTTTTCTTTCCTAAACTCCATTTCTCCCCAAAGATGCTGTAAAAAAATTAAAAATCCGTGCTCTGCTTGTTGATTTTTGCAGCTCAGGTTGTTTGTGACTCAGTTTCCACAAACCACATTAACAGAACTTTGCTTCTGACCCACCAATTTTTATTCCACCTCTCGATTTTATTTTTTTTTTGCAGCTCAGGTTGTTTGTGCCTCAGTTTCCCTGAGCTCTGCTCCTGATCCACCCAAGGAAGATCTGTGCTGACAGTTGGATTACAGAAGTTCTGGTGAAGGAATTGCCAAAATAAAGCAGCTCAAAAAAAATGTGTTTGTGCCTCAGTTTCCCTGAGCTTTGCTCCTGATCCACCCTGGCTGCAAAATCCAAGGAAGATCTGTGCTGACAGTTGGATTACAGAAGTTCTGGTGAAGGAATTGCCAAAATAAAGCAGATCTCTCCCTTGCTGGCTGCATAAAGGACTTCAAATGATGTGATCTTCAACCTTTTATCATTCCTGGACTTTCTCACGGCGCAGCCTCAGGGAAATCTTTGCAGCTGGAAAATCTTTGAGGGAAGAACAGGAATATTTGTTCTGGGTGGTGGGGAACTGGTAGAGATTTGCAGTGTCCAAGTACATCAAGATCCCCTCCTGAAGTGCTGGTAGGACACAGAGAACCTCTGGGTTTCTGGGATTTTTAACAAACAGCCCACCCTGTAAAGAAATCAGCCCCCCCTGGAGCCACCCTCTGATGGGAGCTGAGGGAAAACAGGGAAGAGCCTGGGAAATCAGGCAGCATTCTGATTATCCTCGTGTGTGATGCCGAGTGCTTATTCCAAGCCACATATTTTTTAGCTCTACCCCCTGTTCCCCCGTGCAGCTTTACAAACTTCCCAGAAAAATGGTGATTTCTCCGAGATAATGAAGGGGAGGGACAGAGCAGGGCTGAGGGGAGGGAGCAGGGAATGGGCACTGATTTAAATCTGCCTGGCACACGGGCCAGCTCCACTTATCAGGGAGTCTAATAGGAATGTGAAGAGAATAGGCTTGACAGCTCATTAGAATGTGATCCCTCCTCTTTTTTTTTTTTTTTTCTCTTCCCTTTTCTTTTCTTTTTTCTTTTGCTTTTCTTGAAGTTGATGGAAACTCCTTCGGGAAAGAAGGACTTCTCTGCCGAGGTAAGGCAGGAGCTGAGGAGGGTTTTGCCAACGTGCAGCTGGGGAAAGGAGCAGCAGGAAAAATCAGACCCTCCGAGGTCCCTGAAATCCTGCCCGGTGTGAGGGGAGATGAGGATGCAAAAGCCACGAGGTTCTGCACCCTGACAGCTGCTGCTCATCCTCAGAGAAAAGGGAAAGCTCCCTCAGCTAGAGAGGGAGACAACCCACACTTGGGGAAACTCTCCCTGTTCCCGGTGGAGCTGGGGACGCCCTCGGATTCTTTGTTTCTCCTCGTTTTAAGTTTAATGGTGTGAGAAGTCTCTCTTCCCCCCCGACAAGGCTGTGATGCTTCCAGCCCCTCCAGAGGAGCACTGGCTGTAGCAACCTTGGATTACAGTCCCCCAGCATCCTGGAAGGGAAGGATGAGGACTTGTCACTGAGGAAGGGGGAAGGATCAGCCCAGAGGGAACGGATGGAACGCATCCAAACCTGCTCTGAACCCCACATGAGGCTTCAAATGACAGCAAGTGAACCCTCCTGGTGAAGAGGAACAACCAGAGCCCCCCTGATGAGTTCGTGTTGTCAGCTCTGGCCTGAGCAACTCTTGCCCAGAGCAGTTTGACTTCTCATAGCTGAGTGCATTTAAAACAAGTCTGAAGACTTATTTGAGGGGGGTAGAAGGGAGAGCAACCCTTCAAGGTGGGTGGCAGGACTTTTCAGGGCCTCTTGTATTTATGTAAAGCTCCCAGAGGCTGAATGGACTTACCTCCTTCTCCGAGTGAATCCAGATTTTAAACAAGTTGATCTGGACCATTTCCATGTGTCCTGCTTGAGCAGAGACCTCTCAGCAACCAGCACATCCATCTCGCTGCCCATCTGACATTGCACAGCCCAGAGGATCTTCTTTAGCACTTCTGACCCTGCTACTTTTTATTTTTGGAGAGAGGACTCTCTTCCTTTATTGGTGGTGAAGGTTTTCTTTTTTTTGTGCTTGGACTTGGCCCCTCCCTCCCTTTCCAAAATGAAGGGG